GGGGCTGGCCAATAAGTGACCTTTCCCAAAGCCTTCAGATACCAAGTTCATAAATTTTATACCCCCGTGGCCGAGACTGCCTAGGTACACATCCTAGCCAGTAGCTTCGCAGAGTTCTCTACGTCGACCCCCGGGGGGAGTAAGGAATTATAAGCCGAATAAAATAAAAACATCTGCCCTGAAAATAAGGATAGTGCTGACAGATCAACTTCCAGTTCATTGCATGCCCCGATGTCCCCCCCCCCCACTTGCAGAGCAGCATGAATTGAAAAACAGATTTCGGAATGGTTAGAGAAACAAAGGATATGCCTTTATCCATTTTTTTACAGCAATTCCACTTTTTGTATGCTGGACATCGAAACATGCTTTCACTTTGTAGATCCTTTGCCAACTCCAGCATCGGAAATTGTATTTGACATAATCGAAAGTTCAAGCTTACTTTTTATAAAATTGCTCTAACAGTCTGCAAAAAATAATAAGCCTGATCCAATTCGAAGATTGAGGAACAATGCAATCTGCCGCATTAACTGAAAAAGATAATTTTAGCTTAGCTTATACTGTCCATTATACATTTAACACGCATGCGTAAATGCATATGCGCATGCACAAAATGTTTGGAGCTTTGAGGTCTGGATTATAGATCATTCCGGATTATGGACGTCCAGATTAAAGACTTTTGACTGTATTTAATAAGAACCAAAAAATAATGAGACACTGAATATCTGGTTGGATATCATTTAGCTAATATTGCACATTTCATGCACTTTGGGATGGATTTAACTAATTCTTTTGAATAAGAATATTTAGTTTTATTCCATTCCTCCATAAGAATTATTTTTAGTGGAGTTTTTGAAGAAATGGCATGTTTCCTTTTTTTTTTTTTCTCCGACTCTCTCCATACATGTTCAATAGGATTTAATTCAACAATATATGGAAGAGTTTTAATAATCTTAGGACTGTTATATTGTAACCACAAGCAAGAATTTAGTGCTTTATATTTAGGTTCGGTATCTTGGTAGAGCTTGATTGTTTTTGCAGGTACTTTCAGGTTTTCATTAAAAACTTACTATATCTTTATACTAATACACATTATTTTTTTTTTTAAAAATAACTTTCCCATTCCAGAGATAGTGAAACATCTTTAAATCATTGTGTCTGCTCTCCCATACTTAGCAGTAAGCAGTGATTTTTTTTTTTTTTAATTTTTTCTTCATATAATATTTCTGCTTTCTCCGCACAACATTTTGTCTGTCAGACCCAACTATATTAAATTTTAACTCATTTGCGAATATATCATTGTTTCAGTATGGTAAATCATTGCTGATTTTGCAAACAGATGATTTTTATTATTTTCATATAGATGAAAAATTTTCTTCTTGCTAATCACCCATTGTGCAGTGACTCTCTCAGCAGTTTCAGGACTAACATTTATTGCAAACCTCCCTCTGAATCTGCTGCAAGTTTTACAGCACTTAATTTTTGGCTTTTGTTTGATTTTTTATAGGACAAGTTTTTAGGTTCTGAGAGTGAGCATGGAATGAGAAGTTAAATTTCTAATAGAATTTTATGTTAATTTGTAGCATTTTGCTATGTTCACTTCAAATATGGAACTGTTAATATATTTTGCTAAATACGTAATAATTTCAAATGCAGATAATAATTCTTGTGTATCGTCTCTGCAAATAGTATGCGTTGGTGTGTTTAATCATATTTTGTCCAATTTTTTTTTTTTTTTATTTGAAAGAAAGAGACTTGCTTTAGAATACTGTGTTGTGAAATTTGCAGGGGGGGGGACATCATTAAGTATAAGGTGTCTGAAATGGAACTATCATGCTACCAGATTGGAACTATAATTTATTACCAGTTGTGTTGCAAAAAGTCAGCTAGAGCATGCCACCAAGTCATATGTACAGCTTTAGGTATTAATGTTGTATCATATGACATTGTGAAGGTTTGATATTGAAAATTCAAAAACAAGGACTATGCCGTTCAAGAAGCGGAGTGCTATAGCCGTACTACTGATGTTGATGAGGCCCGCCTGCGAGAACTTGTGGAGAAAGATCTGTATGCAACCTCTCGATAGCTTGCTAAGGAGTTAGACATTAGTGCCATGTCCATTAGTTGCACTATGCATCACATAAACTTGATGTCTAAGTTCAGTTGCTGAGGGCACCTGAGCTGACTCGATAAGGACAGACATGATGGGGTCTGCACTAATCTGCTCGAATATCAATGCAAGGACAAAATTCTGGTTCGGACCGTCACTTGTGATGTAAAGTGGATTTACTTCAACAGCACAAATTATATAGGGGAATGGTTTACCCGGTGAGCCCGTTGGCAGCATCGCAAAGTACAATTTGACTAGCACAAAGATCATACTTTGTATCTGTTTAGATTGCCATAAAGAGTACCTGGTAAAAGGTAGAACCCATGACAGTAAGGTGTACATAGAGATGCTAGTCCTTGTTGACACTGCTATCAAGGAAAAACGTTCGAACCGAGTTCTGGCATGAAAAGGTAATGTTCCATCAAGATAATGCAAGATCGCATGTGTCTGTATTCACCCCTGGACTCTGTACGGACTTGAAGGGAATCTTTTGGCACACCAATGATATAGCCCCAACATCACTCCTTCGGATTTCTACCTTTTTTCAGACTTGCAGCTGCATGTTGCTGGTGCTATCTTCCATTCTGTACATTATATCTGAAATGAGGTTGATCTGTTTTTGGACTCGTAGCCATCAAGTTTCTATGCTGAAGGCTTTGAAAAATTACCAAAACGTTGGCAGAAATTCATAGATTTGGGTAGGGACAACTACCCACATTAAAGGTATTGCTTTTATGTTCCCCCTTCCAACTTTATTAATAATGTTTTATGGTGGAAAACTTTTGTTACAACAAGATATTATCATTTAAAAAAGAAAGAAGGAAAGAAACATCTGCCAAAACTTTTGAATGTATGAATTATCTGTGTTCCTGATTAATATTTTTGAACAAACTGCTTTATTACAAAAAGTATTTAAATGGTATTTATTTTATAAAAAGCGAGGCTTCAAGTAGGAAAAAAAAATATTATTTGGAAAGAAATTAAAGTATGTTTCAGTATTTAGTTCAGTATTGTGCAAATAAACTTAAACACGAGTGTCACAAAAAAAGTGTGACCCACTGTATATAACTTGTATAAAACTTAGCTTAGTAGATCATTATAAGAAATGTTAAAAGTATTTGGTATGTGGAAAAATGTGTCTTTTTTTTCATATTTATTCAAATGATTTATTCATATATATGTATTTAACTAGTGTCAACTGTATACAGCATGGTTCTGAACTGAGTATGCAGAAATAACACAATAAATATTGTTTTCAACAGTTTTCATTTGAACATAAATTTTGCAAGAGGTTAAAAGAGAGGTGATAATAATTCAGTCATTTTTTTTGAAAAAAAAAACAAAAAAAATCACTTGATGTACCCGTGCAGTGTGTTTTGAGATGGCATAAACAATAAAAACAGTTGCCAAGCCATGAATTTTATTGTTTTACTTTTAAGAATTTAAAATGAAATATGAAATAAAAATGGTTTTATAGGATTTACATTTCTCCTTCTAACTTTTAAGTGTAGCTCAAAAATGCATTGTTAATTTAATAGAAAAAATTATTAAATTAATTTAATAGAAAAAATTATTAAATTAATACAAATAAAAGAATTGTTCAAGCATAAATCTTCTACATAAAAAATTACCCCTTCCCCAAAATATACTACTGGACTGGAATATATGAAGGTGTCTGGGATTCCGAAAGTATTTGGTTTAGTTCAATGTTGTCAATTTAACCTGCTCAAATTCACCATAGATTCTACATTTCCTGACTACTATTCAAATATAACAGTAAAAAGAATAAATTAAAATAAGAAGAGAAACTTTGGAGAGTTATGAAGTTTAGAAAATTTTGAAATTTCTATTTTTTGAGTCTGGTATTGAGGTTTTATTTCAGTTGCTTCTCCTTCAGTTACTAATGCATTTTATAAAAGCAGGATTTATGTACCCTTCTTAATTGAGTGTAAAAATGTAAGTTTTAGAAGCATTATTATTATTAGTTATTTTATCTTTTGAAATAAATTTGAGTTTTCTGAAGTACTGTATTGTTTATTTTCACTTTTGCCAATTTATTTCGTGTACTCGATCAAATATGGATGCATTGCAGTGCTGAGTAGTGACAAACGGGCAGCGACATGCTGTTGCTTGTTTGCGTCGGACAATGAGTGGGATACCCACTTGCTCAGCTTTTATGCCTTTCCTATGCGATACAAGTGGATCATTTCATCAGATACCTGGAAATGTGCAGCAACCTCACTACATGTTTGGCTACTGTCACTCTCTGTGGCTGCTTTCAGGGCCTCATCGTCCAGCACTTGTCGCCGGCCACTACATGGTGCATCACTAAGAGACATATCCCCTGACCTGAATTTCTGGAACCATTGTCTAGCTGTTCGTTCGTTAACGTCATCATCCCCCAAAGTCTTGGCAAATTTGGCAACTTGATTCTGCTGCTGACAGGCCCACTTTAAAGTCATACAGCAAATAACTCCGAATGAATGCCTGTGGCACATCCATTTCAATCAGTCACTGTGAGTTACGTTTGAAGCACTGATGCAACGTGCTTTTATATACTCTTGGTTAATGTCTGAACTCCCATCCTAATTACTTCATCGCCAGGTTTGGCTACTATTTTGATGTTGGGGTCACTCTTCCAATGTCTTATCAGAAATGGTAAGAGCTTTTTTGGTTACCTTGTACATTGTGTGCATATCCATGGATTAGTTATTGCCCTATGCATACTTGAAAATTTGCCAAAAATATGACATTTCTACTGAATATTGAAAGCGATGATAAACAGGAAGTACCAATAGCTTTTATAATTATTAATTATAATATATGTCTTAAATATATACGTTTTATAATTTATGCATATTATATTTCTTATTTTATCAAATTTTTCTTGTAGCTTCTTAAAAGAGAATATGGGCCATTATTAACTGCACCAGAAGAAGGTATTTAATATTGCAATTATTTTTTAAATCTTAATTTTCTTATGATGTATCTTTATATAAAATTTTCTTGCTTTAAATACATAGGTAGCAACAAAATATTTTGAATTTTATTATAATTTTATTTTTATATGTTATTTGAAAATCATTTGCCACTTTTATATTATTTATAACTGAGAATTACAATGGGCACCAAAGTAACTTTAATAGTGATCTAAATATTCATTACTTTTATTAGCTTGAAATAACTATGGTAAGGATCTGGCAGAGTTATTACTGTAATCTCCGGAAGAAATGCTGTGGCGTTTACGTGTTTAAAACTTAAATTTTCAGTGGGTACAGCGTTTCTACCCATGAGGTGCTTAGGTGCACTAAAAAAATATATTTTCTATGATGTCATTGTGCATAGTTTGAATGACCTTGTTATTGTACATAGTTTGGATGACCTTGTCATTGTGCATAGTTTGGATGACCTTGTCATTGTGCATAGTTTGGATGACCTTGTCATTGTGCATAGATTGGTGCTGTTCCCCCACAAAAGACCACTCTGTTGCTTTCTGCGAACTTTATTTTGTTTACATTCTTTCCCTTGAACGGACCTACATCCTTATTCACCTTAAACGGGATCTCGAAACAATAACATTCTTCTCTCTTTCAAATCAGCATTCTCATCAGTTTGTTTTCTCTGCCATTCGATGGCAGAGAAGCATTCTCATCTGAAGACTGAATCAGCATTCTCATCAGTCTCTCTTCTCTGCCATTCGATAATTCTTCCAAAACCCATCTTCTCCCCACCCCTGCCTTTTCCATTATAAATCTATTACAATTTTTTTCAAAGGCGGACACCACCTGCTTTGCAGTAACGAATTCTGACGTATTTTCCCTTCAGCACAAATCGATTTTTCTTGGCATTCTGCCAGATACAGACCCCATCAGTTTGGGCACAAGTACTTTTGGATAGTTTTTAAGAGCGGACAGTGAGTTTTTGAAAATTTTTGAAAATGACACCTAAATGGCACAGAAGCTATACTGCTGGTTTTAAGCTTAATGTAATTTCACGTGCTGAACAAATTGGAAATAGAGCAGTAGAGATGCATTCGACGTTGGAGAACTGAGAAAGGAAAAACTTAAAAATACACCACAACAGAAAAGAGCCAAAAGAAGTGGTACTGTAAACTTACTGAATTTGAGGATGACTTCCAAACTGAATAAAGGAGCAACAAGGAAAGGGAATGTCAATTTCGGCTGTAAAAATTCGCTTACAAGCAAAATTTATGGCAAAACAAATGAACATAAATGATTTCAAAGAAAGTCCTTGCTGCCGAGCAGATTTATGAAAACAGAAAATATTTCTGTGCATACAAGAACAACAGTCAGGCAACAATTACCAATGAACTGGCAGGATAAAAAGGCACCTTTTCTAAAACATGTGACAGATATTACTGCCAAAAAAAAATCTTCCATCACAGATAATAAATATGGATGAAATGCCATTAGCTTTCGAGTCTCCTGCAAACAGAACTGTTGATGAAACTGGTGCAAAAACTGCATATGCTTATGATGAGGCATGAAAGAATGTCATTGTGGGTGAACATGTATGTTAGCTTATGCCACAAACGGTGACAAGCTAAAGCCGATGAGTATTTTTAAAAGAAAAACTATTCTGAAGGGAGATTTTCCTAATGACATAATTAATTATTTGAGCAAACAAGAATGGATGGATGTGCGAAACAATCATGCATGAGTGGCTACAAAAAGTTTTGCAGCATTGTAAGGGATTTTTTTTTCAACCAAAAGGGTTATTGATAATGGATTCCATGCTTGCTTATGTACTTGAGTCAGTGAAAACCAGATGTCAAAAACTGTGTATGACATAGCAATAATTCCTGGTGGTTTGACAAAAATCTTACGTTCATTAGATTTGTCAGGGAATAAATTCTTCAAAGCTGAAGTCCGAAAGTGGTGGGAGTGTTAGATGAGTGAAGGATTGTATATGTACATCAAAAGTGGCAAAATGCATAGAGCATCTCATAAATAAGTTCCAAAGTGGGTAAGAAGTGCATGGAAATCAGTGAAAACATCGTCAATAATAGCAGCGTTCAAAGAAGCTGAAATTATATCCTCGGATAAAGAGACTGTAATACAAGAGGATGAATGTGACGATCTGGAAGACTTGGACTTAGATCAGGATTTACTAAATCTTTTTAATTCAGATAGTGAAGAATCAGATTTTGATTGCTTCATTTGATGTATAGTTTGCTGTAATTTCTTTGTAAGTAAAATTTTCTTTTGTCATCCAAATTTAATATCTCGTTTTTGCAACTTTTTTTAAAATGTAGTATGAGTATGACAAATATGGACTTCTTTAGTGGGTAAATGTAAGTATATTCGTGAATGTAAATATATTTTCAACATTTCTTACCTTTAATTTATTTTTGAGTTATAGTTTCATGGCATACATTTTTCTTAACTGATATGTCATATATCAGGACATAGATCAAGATTTTGCGTCTATATGGTCCACGAGGATGTCACGCGCGATTTAATCTATTGCGGCTTTTCTGCATAATTAAAATTTTTTTACCCACCATTTTTCTCAAGTGCGGCGTTTACGCTGATGCAGCCTTTCTTCCAGAAATTACAGTATTTTATTTCTGATTGATATAGCTTGGCCATTTCCTTCAATGTGAGGAAAAGGTACATAGAACATAATAATTTTTGCCTGTTGTGTTTCAAACTTGTCATCTTTCAATGCAAAGCTGTATATCTTACTCAACTGTTAGTATTTGAAAGAAAACAGCAAGTTTGTTAGGCTAAAAACATGATTGCAACTAAGTAGCAGATATTTATTGGCTAGACATTGCCATTTTTGTCACCTACCGTAATTCCTTGTTTAGGATGGTCTATAAGTTTTTTGTTAAGTTGTTTAAGGCATAATTGTTAACTATCATATATCAGTAAATATTTTGGTGTGGATAAGTGGGACATTGCAGCACTCTTTTAACATCTGTGCTTTAGCTTGATGTAACCTGATTGATTCTTAATAAATCACGTTTTGTTTTTATGAAACAAGGTATAATTTAACTGTTATTGCTGTATTTTTCCCTTGCAATCTGTATGTGTGTGGGGGGGAATAAATGTTCAAGGGATGTAGAATTACTTTTGCAACCAGACTCTAATTCATATAAAGCTGGTCAAAAGAATTAAGATCTTTTGAAATGGGAAAAAACAGCTGAATGTGGCCACTTAAACACTAACAGATTGGAACAATCACCTGTGGAAAGTTTATACTCATAGCATTCTGAACAGATTTTTGATAAAATCAGAGGGCTTAACAAAATAATAGAAAATGATAAAAAGCCTTTTTGCAAAAAGAGTTGAGTATTTTTGTAGCAGTCGCTATTTGTGACTTATGCAGGGAGACTTCAATTTTTAATTTCGAGTTCCAGATAGAAATGCGTCACAGGATTCTGCATGAACAACTGGCACATCTTTGGCATGATCCCTGCCAGATTTCATAGTTCAGTTATAATTTTATAGCCTTTCATGGTTGATGGGATAATATGTAAGTACAGTAGAATTCCAGAAATCCGCGAAGCTTAGGACCAGAGGTTGTGTGGATTTTAGGACTTTGAGGATTTCAGGACAAAAAAATAAAGCATAATATTCGGACTGAAATTGCAAAATGAATAAGGCATATTAGATACATTTAATTAAATTATTATATACATTATTGCAATAATTTAATATATATACATTAAATTATTATTACACTTAAAAATCGATTATATTATTTATATTATATGTACACAGCATCGAGGTTTGCCAATTTCGCCTCATGCAAAGATTTCTGGTTTCGGATTCCGGTGTTAGAATCACTGTTGTTGTAAAGTTTCAACAGCTTTTCTTTATTTTTCCGTATATCATACACAATTGTATCGCAATTCCATACCATTTTGCTATAAATCGAGGAGTAGCACCTGCTTCCATCTTTTGCAGAATATGCACTTTTTGCATTACCGTCAATGCAACGTGTTTACGTTTTTCAGCGTTGCAAGCGGTAAAATCACGAGTGCATTTCTTATCTGTCATTGTATTAAAAAGGGCTGAAATTAAAAATATTCTTAATTTATCCACAAAATATCTGGATAAAAAAAGGCAGCACTAAAAAATCTCGTGAAATGAAATAACAAAGCTCAGAAAATACAACGTGAACTTGAACAAAGAGTTGAGTGAATCGTCTGCTTTTTTACCTCGATGCAGATTAGAGGGGGGAAAACTTATCTTTTTATTTTATCTTATTTTTTTAAACTTTTTTATATCAATAATTTGGTATTTCTGTTTTGATTCATTATTATTCGGTAATTATGACGTCATTATTCAGTAAGTATTTTTTTCTTCAATATTTCGTACTCAATTTTACGGTTTCCGGAACCTATAAACTGAATGTTTATATTCTGAGAGGCAACACGGATTTCAGGTCGGCGGATTTTCGGTATTTGACTTTACTGAAATTTGAATGATTACTCTATTTTCTGAAATAAGAAAGTTCTAATGACTTCAAAGCCATATTTAATTCTCTAAATTTAATTTATTTTTTCTGTTATGCTGAATAGTTCTTTCTGAGAATGATTCCCAGTTGCTTCTTGAAAGTGGTGTTTTGCTATGGAATGGTCCTTTAGTTAAAATCGCAGTCGGGATTTAATTTTTAAATTTAAAAGTGCTTGAGCCCTATAAGAAAGTTGTCAGGAAACACAGAAATAAACAAACTAATAATAAAAAAGGATTTTTGAGAAATAATAAAAGGTACTTTTCCGTTTTGCTGGCGCAGGTGATAAAGTAGCCATTAATGGTACAACTGATGCCAAACGGAATATTCTCACTGGTAACCTTTTACGCATCATTTTCAAAACAAGTCGCAGCCAAGAATTTTTACCAGATAGTACAATTTTATGCCCTAAGGCCATTTGTGGTAATTAAGTCAATTAGAATGCAATCACACTGCTCACCTGAAGGCAAAAATATAGAAAAAACTACACTAGCAAAGTAAACCACTGCGGTTTTACGTAATTTCTGAGTAAACTATCACGTGATATGAACTAGCGAATCAGCTTGTTGAACCATGAAAGCATAATAAATTCTTAATGTATTTTTATAAATTTATTGTTTTTATTTATTGGCTTTTTACAAAATTTTAAACAATATTAAAATGTTTATGCCGTCAAAATAAAAAAATTCTTAGAACTAACGTTTTTTATGTGTATAATCTATGTGGTTGCCAATAAAATCTGCTTGGTGATATTTGCGCCGACGAAACGGAAAAGTACCAAATAAAATGAAACATTAAAAACTATATAAATGAATAATGATAATGATAATAATAATAATAATAAAATTTAATGAATGATGGTGAATTACAGCTTGTGACGATAATACAGTAATAACTAAATGTTGCATTTATGTGTACTGGTAAAGTACTGCTGTTTGATTATGATGTAAATAAAGAATAAAAATAATTAAAGTAAAGTAAATGCATTGTAGAAATTAATTGAACTAACATAACAACTGAAAGGTAAGTAGCTTAGCAGTAGTAAGACATGGTATCCAGATTAAAATGAAAAGTAAATATTTTCTTCTTAAAACTATGGAGTATGTTTTGTGTTGAATAGTCAGGGAATGACATGTGTAAATGAAAAATACAAAACTGTTAAATATACAAATGCTTAAACATTTATTAGATATTTAACTTTGCATCAATTTCATCTTAATCTCTAAAACCTAAAGTAAAAACCTTCCTCAAATTTGAATGCTCCTGCAATTTGAAGTTAGAAAATTATATCTCCCACCTTGTTTTGAAATTTTGATAACTACAGGGTAGGGTGTAAAAAAGTTACCTGCTTTTGATCCAGTGTCCCACTTTTTGGAGGAGACTGTAGTCACTTGTTTTGATAATTGTCTATCCGTGTGGCAATTTAGTGCTGCCAGTTAAAGTATTATTCTAGCTTTATTTTGCTTTTCTAGTCATTTCTTTTGTACATATCACATCAGAAAGTGGTGTCTGCCCATTCCTATCATATCATTACTAAAGTTTACTTTTTCGTGACCCACTGTATACATTCTACCAGTCGATACATGTTCATATCTCTAGTTTACTAATCTTATGTTTCATGCATTTAAGATAATTTTAATCTCTTTGGGTTATGTCAAATAGATCAAACTCTCCTCAAATGTGAGTTCTGTGTTAACATTTGTTTCCCTGAAAGACCCCTGTTCAGGAGCAAAACAGTTCTGCTCCTAAAAAAGAGAAACCTCTGTCTGATTGTCCTTTAAATCATTAGATTTTTGTTTAAAATCTGTGCAACAGTAAGTATACTGTTTTGCCTATTTTAAGTTTTACTTTGCCGTGTTTCTCTTGCTATTTGATATTTTGTGACTAACTGACATTTTCGAGAAAGTTTTTTCTGTTTTATTCCTTTGGCAGAATTTTGTTTTGCTCTTGAAGAAGAGGGACCTGTGCCTGACCACCTTTGAAATTAATAGGATTGTATTTAAAATATGTGCCAAAATAAAGCTTCTGTTTTGCTTTATTCTGCATGTTTCTCTTCCTATTTGAACATCATAGTCATGCCCTGTATTATTTAGAATAATTATTGTAGTCTAAAATGGTGAAAATATAATTTCGCTACACAGGGAAGTATGTGCACAAAGTGGTAGGATTTGCTTATAAAATGTACGTAATGGACCTACAAGTGGCTGATTGGTTAAGACTGCTGAATGCTGGGAGCTTAATCCCAGGCAAATGGACTGGCTGCACTGTTGGTTTTAGTGGTTTCCTCCATGTGTAATGTGACTATCCCATCAAAAATCCTCCATAACAGCATTTATCTCTTTGCCATATTCAGATAACCTAACTTGATAAAATAATACTTAAAGTCCATAATCTAAATAGGACATATTTAATTTTGGCTAAAACTGTAAACTTCTTCAGGTTTTTTGCTTAAACTCTATAGAATTGCAAATCTGTAGAACCAAAACTTAATGTAAAAATTTTAATATCAGTAAAAAACTGTTTTCTATTTTGGCTGTATCTCTTTGTACATTTACTGTTTTGGAAAGCATGTACTTAATTTTGAAAAGAATGTATTGCAAAAGAATTTTTACTGTAAATTTTTTATGAATTTTCTGAAAGCCTGGTTTATGTTTTCTTTTAATTTCAGAATGCTTATAAGTTACCTAACACTGATTATTAAATAACAGTAAATAAAATTATGAAATGTACGTCAGTATTTTTTAAGCATATGTATCAGATCTACATTTCAAGTACTTTTATATAATTTCTTTATTAATATAGGATACAATGTCACACTTCTTTTCGATTTGGAAAACATTCCAAAATCATATGATGACTTAATTCAAAAGGCTGGGCTCTTAAAACGGAATTGTTTTGCGTCTGTGTTTGAAAAATATTTTGAGTTTCAAGAGCGAGGTGAAGAAGGCCACAAAAGGGCTGTTATTCACTATAGAGATGATGAAACCTTGTGAGTTTCTTTTTTATTTCTGTTTAATATTTTTTACATTGTAACGATCAATTTTTATTAATATTTTGTTTATAAACAATTTTCAGGTACGTGGAAGCAAAATCTGACAGGGTGACTGTGGTCTTTAGTACCATATTTAAAGATGAAGATGATATAATTATAGGAAAAGTATTTATGCAGGTATTGTATTTTGTGGATTAAAAGAAATAGGATAATGTTTCTTTAGTACTGCTGCTGTTAATTTTATTCAGAAAGCTTTATCACTTAATAATTCTATTTCTTACTGAGCAAGAGTTAGTATTAGCAAATATGTAAAAGATTGAGACACAATAACACGCCGAATGAATACTAATTCAGAAGTCAAACAACAAAAATCAGCGTTATATTTACAAAATTTTCACAGGACTAGCTTCGATGGTTTTACCGAACCACCAACCGCAACCATTTGCGGTTTTGCAGCTGAGGATGGTGGTTCGGTAAAACCATCGAAACTAGTCCTGTGAAAATTTTGTAAATATAACGCTGATTTTTGTTGTTTGACTTCTGAATGTAAAAGATAATTATTATCTATATATATATCTAATATAATTTTTTATCTATAAAGTGCATCATTTAATGATTTCACTTAAAATTTATCGTATTTGCTGGCGTATAAGATGCACTAGGTCTGAAAAACGAGGTGCGTCTTATACGTCGATACTCAGTTTGTTCGGCGTTATGTGATTTTTTTTCTTGTTTCCTTGTGAAGTGTGAATATTACAATTATGTAAAGTGAGCGCTGTCATCGACGATCATAGCTGGGTTCGTTTAACTTCCCATTTTTAGTGAACGACTTTTAAGTGAGTGAAATTTCTACTGTTCAATTTTCTTAAATTTGTTGGAAAGTTATGGCTCTAAAACAAGTTGACATTGCTATAACATAGCATACAAGCTACGTGTGGTTGCATATGCTAAAGAACATTGAAACAGGACTGCAGAGAGGCATTTCGGCTACTCCCAACTGAGCAAATGACAAGAACTTGACAGAATCAATAAGAGATAGTAATGCACTGTATGGTATAGAGGATGATTTGTTGTATGAGGACTGAGATGCTGATTTAGAAGAGGTTTCAAGTGACTCTTCATTCAGCTTTGGAGATGTGTGTCTTGGTTTTGACGAAGATTAAAAGGTGTTCTTTCCCATATAGATTGGGTATTTGTGGAAAGTATTACTGTGTATTTGTGTTACTTCATATTTAAAATACAGTACAAAGTCCGTAATCCGGACTCGTCGGGACTTCGGCGATTCCGGATTAAGGGTTTTTCAGGATTATAGATCATCAATTTAAATCTGGTAAGATGGCATGCAGAAATAATACAATTAAAAATATGAAACTGTAATTTATGAAATAAAGAGCAATTATGGTCTAAAGGGTATCAAAATTTACACACACACAAAAAAAAAAAAAAAAAAAAGCTTAATATTTATTTGTTTACTTTATTAAACATTTCTTTCAATGTAAGTTGTTTAAGTTGCTTCGTTTTTTGTGCTAATACTTTCTCTTTAATTCTCTTTTCTATAAAAAGTATCTCTTCTATTTACGTGCATGCGTAGTGGACGCACACACATGCGTTCAAGTTAGAATTTAGAAAATTTTGGCAAGCTACAATTACATATTGCACTTTTAATATTTCATTTATAAATTCATAGAATGTATGAACTATAAAAATGTGTGGTATAATATGTTAAAGAAAAAGTGGTATTATGTACTCTTTATATTACTATTCTTTTTAATTCAAAAATTAATATGGGAATTCAAATTAAAATTCAGTTCAAAATTAAGTGCGGAAAAAGAGTATTTTAATGTGAAACCTGACGCTGCATGTTTTCTACGAGTTTATTGTACTCTGGTATATATATCATGTTAAGGATGAATTTATGTAGTTGTTCAGATTTTTTATTGTTATCCTGATCTGAACTTTGATTTTAACAAGGTCGTTGTTGAAAATCACTTTTGAAAAGGTAAATTGATCCAAAGAGTTTAACATTTGAAAACTTTCTTTTAAGAATGGATATTTTTTCATATCAATGAGTATCCAAAACTCTGTTTCTGATATTCTCACTTGTAATTGTAGATCAGACTGAAAAATTGACTATTTCTATTTCTAGATCAATAGAATTTGTATTTAACATATTTGCAGTCTGTTTCGATATTTTGGAAAAAAATATTTGTGTTAACAAATGGATTTGAAATAAATGAAGTAATGGGTTGAATTTTACAAAAGTTAGAAAATCTAATTTCAAAATTATTTTTAAGCTTGATGAAATTTTCTACATTCCTTTATTTGAGGTATTTACAAATTTAATTTTGTTTTGTAGTTCCTATTAACTCAGTAATAGTCATTTCTTTGCCCTGAAGTTCAAGATTTAGTTTATTCATGTTGATTGTCATGCCTGTAAGTAAGACTAAATTAGATAACCATCTATAATCATTAAGTTATTCATAAATTTCATTTCTGGCTTTTAAAAACTGTTTTTCTGGAAGAAGGTCTAGAAGTCATTTTAGGATCTTTTACCATGCTATGCCATCTAATTTCAGAGTGTAACATTAAAATTTCATACTCAGCCTCAAAGTTCATCAATCAGTATTTTGAGCAGTGGTATGGCACAAATAGAATTTTTAATTTTCATCTTGTATTCATTATGTAAAATATTTGTACAGAGTGCCTGCTGATGTATGATGCAATGGTTGTTTAAAGCATTTAGAAGGTTAGCATCATTGTAATATAATGTGATGAAACCTACAGCAGAACCAATTATGGCAGGTGTACCATCTGTCATAAATATAAGTTTAAGAAGTGGAAATTTTAATTTTGGTTATGTGGTTTCTAATAGCTTGGTATATGTCTACTCCTTGTGTATTGTCCTTTAATGACAAAACTAACAGATTATCTTTCTTCACTGAGTACTTATTAAGTAGCATCCATTTACCTGAGCTATATTGCAGATATATGTTGATTCATCACACTGTAAATATAAGGAAATGCATTTTTGTAATAATTTACTTGTCTTCTAACATTTTGACACTTCTATTGTGCAAATAATGAAATTTCTGGATAATTAAGCACCTTGGATAGCTGACATAATTTTCTCTTATTTTTAGCTTTTTTAAAGTAAAATTTTCGATCTAGCAAGCATTGCTTCTGTAATTATGTTGCCATCCTCAAAGGTTTTTTTTTTTTTTTTTTTTTTTTTTTTTTTTTTTTTTTTTTTTTTTTTTAACTACTTTAAATGATACAATGGTAGTAACCTCCATTTTATTCTCAGACTCAGTAAACATTGATTGTTGGACAATGAATGTGCTTTTCAAGTCTTTCACTTTATACTTTTTTAGTTTGCTGTTAGAAGGATATTCACTCTCATATATTTTTTATGAACTGTTGTAAAATGTTCTGTGTTGCTTGCTTTTCCAACAGAAGCTGTTGAACCACACATCAAACAAATACATTTGTTCTTTAAAATTATGAAAAAATATTTTTTCTCCCCTTCATTGTTAAAATTGTAATTGAAGCTATTCCCCCCTTTTTTTTCTTTTAGCTCATGTGGTGACATGATTAGGGTAACTACAAAATTATCAGTATCTATTAAAACTAATGATTAATATACACAGAAGAAGCAAATCTTTTTTATACCTGTATGAAACCACCAAATCAGCTACTTTATGCACAATAAAAATTTATTTTGTGTTCCTTGGCATGATTTTTATGCAGGCTACAGCAAGCAGCAGATGGTGGCACTGTTAAGTAAATGGACATTATGTGGCTAAGGTGCTCATAGGAATCAGTTAATGAAAATGTAGCTTGTGAAGCAACCCACTATGATGTCGATGATGATGTGAGGAATATTGTGAGCATTGTTGCCATGTAATGTCTAGAGCAGTGGTTCTTAATCGGAGAGGGGTGCGGGAGAAGCCCCTACCTAACCATAAAAATTATTAAATATCATTTATTAAATTTCTTATAATAAAATATTTGAAATCTGCAATAGTGTCTCCAATACGAAGCTCATAAAAATTGGTAGCACCTAGCTCACTTACTGGCAAAAGACACAGGAAAGAGCCGGTGCCGATGGGCGTATACACTATGCTACGAAAAGGCATGAAATGCTACAAATGAACGCGAGCAGGCAGCTAGGTGACGGAGAAAAGAAAAAAAAACTTTGTGGGAATACAAGCGTGACCTTCGAGAAACCTCGATAGCCACAAAGCCACCACGATACAAGCGGAGAACGTTATCCCAGCTTGCGCATGCGCTGAGTTCAACATGTGCTACTCCAATGAAATCTACGGATTCACAGATTTGTATCTGCATCTACTGCACCTGTGTTAGGTTGAGTCAACTATTGTGTCTGGGACATGTGTATTGTGTATTCTGACTTGTCCAGAAACCTCTTGAGACTAATACATTCTTAATTGCCCGTTCAAGCCGAATAGAATTCAGTGATATTACAAACGTAAGAACATTATATATATTATATTACATTATTTCTATTAAATCGATTATAGTGAACCCCACTATGTCAAAAAAAAATGACAATGGAACGATAAGTATGCCGGTTATGGATTTACCTGCACAACCGAAAAAGATGGCATGCAACGACTGCAATGCATCTTGTGTTCCAAGATATTTTAAAACAGCAATCTCAAACCATCAAAGTTATTAGAGCATTTCAACAATTTGCAAGGTGGCGAAAAAGTGCATAGCATGAACAGCTTGAAGTCAAAGAAGGCTCGGTTTGATACCAGTGGAACTATCCTAAAATTGTGCGGACCAGCAATTCAAAAACCTTTATTAGAAGCGTCATATCAAGTGGCATATTTATGTGCCAAAAAAAAAAAAAAAAACCTCACACGATCGCTGAAGAGTTGATTAAACCTTCTGCTTTAATTATTGCTAAAACAGTTTTAGATTCGGAAGCACATAAAAAAATCCAACAGATTCCATTATCGAATGATATTATACGATCGCGAATACAAGATCTCAGTGAAGATATTTTAATGCAAGTAATTGAAGACATAAAAATCAGTCCACTAAAAATAAGCATGCAACTGGATGAGTCAACTGATGTTGATAATTGTAGCCAACTTTTGGTATTTGTCAGGTATGTGAAGGAAAAAGAGGTGATAGAAGAATTTCTATTT